AATGAAAGAAACCATTGGGGAAAAAGCGAAAGCAGAACATTCAGCAATTATCAACTATGATACTTCTCTTATATATTTCCCTTAGAATCCATTATGATATGAATATATTCCATAAATTAGTAATTTATTAAACGTTGATGAACTATTAGATTCGCAGTTAGCATTGTCAGCATAGTGGACAGAGAATCCAGTCACCAGACGAATGCCATGTGGTAGTTTGTTTAATACATTCTGTTGTTTTTGTTGTAGATGCAGATGTCGGCACGAGTTAATAACATAATTATTGAGAAATTAAGCTTTAAGTAGTATTTTGTTTCTCATCCGGATTGGGACTCGAATAAAATCGGATTGTGACATTTGGAGGTAAAAAACTCTCTAACAAATACGACTCTATACAGGGCTCGATTCCAAAATTTCTGTCAAAGATAAATGGATACTTATCACTCTACCACATAATATTTTTTGGTAAGCTTTAAATTTTTTATGAAAGTTAAAGTATGCGACTGTTCCAAATTTCGAATTACTAGTTTTAAAGCTGCCCGGCTAGCGGACTCAGTCAGTCAATCAATTTAACTATTTTTTATTCTCAAACAAAATTAATTAGAACCAACTATAGGACTTTTCTCAAATCTATCTAATCTATTCAGTTTCAAATTTAATTGGCTCATCTTTTACCAGACACCATCAATTTGTTCTTTCTATTGAATCAGTCAATGTTGCAATTGAATTAATTAGGATAGCTGCCTTCCTGGGTTGCCCAAATTACTTCCTCCATGTTGGTAAGGTTCGGCTGATCTCCATTTTCTCCTCCTCTTAATTATTTCTATGTGTTTTTTTTCTAAAAATCGGGTTTGAATTATGTTCATAGTCAATGAACTTTAAAATGTGGTAATCGGTTAGTTAATGTTTATCAAGAAATTGATAACATTCAGAATTCCAGCTAATTTGGATTGAAATATCTGACATTAACCCTAGGTTCAAAGAGAACATCGATGACCTGTGGAGAAAGAAAAATGATATTATTGATTAATTGAGAAATCTATCTAAAAGTAAAGAAATAGACTTCTTTATATATTTACAGTAAAGAAAGAATTGAATGAATAATTAAACTAAGTCTAATGGGTCAAGAAGGTTTCAATTGGGCCTGGTCACACTTATTGGGCTTGCTGAACTTTGTAGTGGGCTAGACAAATCAGGAACTCCAACAGCCCCCCTCAAGCTAGAAGGGGAGCCCATTCCAAGCTTGGAAATGAAGCCTTGTTGTTGAACACCTAACAAAGACTTGGTAAAAGCATCAGCAATCTGAGAAGAAGTTGAAGTAGCATGTAAACTGATAAGCCCAGACTTTAAAGCATCCCTAACAAAATGGCAATCGACCTCTATGTGCTTAGTCCGTTCATGGAAGACAGGATTTTTGGCAATGTGTATAGCCGACTGACTACCCCAATAAACCTCAACAGGAACCAAATTGGCAAGACCAAACTCATTCAATAGGCGAATAACCCAAACAACCTCAACAAACAGTAGTCGAATGGCTCTATATTCTGCTTCAGCAGAAGAAAGAGCAAGAGTTGGTTGCTTTTTAGACTTCCATGAAATGGGACAGCCACCAAGGAACAAAATAAAACCACTAACTGACCGTCTGGAATCAACACAACCAGCCCAGTCAGAGTCACAATAGCCTTTGAGACCAAAATCAGGAGAATGAGAGAGAGAATACCCAACGTTGGAGTGCCAGACAAGTACCTGAGAACATGATACGCAGCGACCAAGTGGGGCAATCTAGGGGCAGACATGAACTGACTTAGGTGTTGCACTGTATAAGAAATGTCTGGCCTAGTGTGTTGCAAGAAGTTCAATTTGCCTACGAGCCGCCTATACAATGAAGGATCAGACAACAAATCCCCAACCTCAGAGGACAACTTAATATGAGGATCAAGGGGAGACACCACAGGGGTAACATCTGAACAATGAAACTCTAATAGGAGATCCTGGAGAAACTTGTGCTGGTTGATCAAGAAACCAGAGGACTGCTTGACAGCCTCAAGCCTAAGAAAATAATGTATCTCACCAAGATCTTTGATCTTGAATTGAGCATCCAAAAATCTTTTGAGAGCATCTATCTCAGAGAGACTGTCCCCAGACACAAGAATATTATCAACATAAACAACCACCATAGGTAAGCAACCATCATAAAGCTTAGTAAACAAAGAGTAATCATTTAAACTAGGCTGGAATCCTTTAGATTGAAGAGCAGCGGACAGCTTAGTATACCATTGCCTAGAAGCTTGTCTAAGGCCATAAAGAGACTTCTGAAGTTTACAAGCAAGAGTAGAATTATCAGTGGACTAGACAGACAAACCAGGAGGTATCTTCATGTACACCTCTTCATCCAAATCACTATGCAAAAAGGCATTATTCACATCCAATTGATAAACAACCCAATTTCTTTTAATAGCCACAATCAACAAACATCTAACTATAGTCAACTTGACCACCGGAGAAAAAGTCTCGGTAAAATCCACTCCCTCTTGTTGATTATCACCCCTAATGATTAGTCTAGCTTTGTATCTTTTAATAGAACCATCTGCTTTTTGTTTTATCTTATACACCCATTTACAAGGAATAACTTTCTTCCCCGAAGGAAGAGGCATAATAGACCAAGTATTGTTTGCCTCCAAAGCTTGAAATTACTGCATCATAGCCTCCTGCCAAGCAGGATTTGAAGCAGTCTGATGATAAAATTGAGGCTCAAGCTGGCAACTCTCAGAGGAAGAAGAAGGAATAGCCTTGGAATCAGAAACATAGGTGCATACATAATCACTTAGATAGGTAGGAGTTTGAGTTATTCTACCAGATCTTATGAGAGGTGGAGCAGAAGTAGTAGGGCTGTGAGGAGGAATAAAGGAGGGAAATAACTACTAGGAGCTGAAGAGGGAGTAGAAGATAGAGGAGAAGGGACAGAAAATGGAGAAGTCGTAGGTGAGGAGGGAGTTGGAGGAGGAAACAAGTAAGTAGCATAGGAGTTAGAGTAAGGAAATATATGTTCATGAAACACTACATCTCTTGAATAAAAAATAGCAGAAGTGGACAAGTTCAGCAATTTATAAGATTTCTTGCCAGTACTATAACCAATAAAAATAGCGGGAATTGTCATAGACTTGAATTTGTCCCTATAGGGCTTAGGCACAACAGCAAAACATAAACAACCAAAAGTCTTTAAGTGTGTGAAGGATGGAGAATGTCCATGCGGAAGTTCAAAAGGTGATTTATGTTGAAGTAAAGGAGAGGGGAACCTATTGATGAGATACGTTGCTGTTAAAACACACTCACCCCAATACTTAACAAGCAATTTAGATTGAAAAAGGAGTGCCCTAGCAGTTTCTAGAAGATGTTTGTGCTTCCTCTGTACCACACCATCCCGTTGAGGTGTGTGTGGACAGGAAGTTTGATGGATAATGCCTTGAGCAAAAAATAGCTTCAGAACTACTACCCAACTCAAATGCATTATCTGATCTTACAGTTTTAACAGGGGAACCAAACTGAGTATGAATCATATGAATGAAAGATTTCAAAACAGTGAAGGCATTAGCCTTAGAAGACAAAAGGTGAGACCATGTAGCCATTGTAAAGTCATCCACAATAGTCAAAAAATATCTAAATCCATTGTAAGTTTGAGTGTGATATGGAACCCATAAATCTACATGTATCAATTGAAAAGGACAAGTAAAATTAATGGAACTTTCGGGAAAAGGAAGTCTTTGCTGCCTAGCCATAGGACATATAGGGCAAATGAAAGTTTGTTTTTGAGGCAATTTACTAGAAAGACATGGAATATGTTTCATTTTATTGAAAGGAACATGACCTAATCTCAAATGCCATATATGGTCAACAGAAAAAGTAGAAACAACAGAAATATTAAAGTAAGGTAAAACAATATCAAAAGGAGCAGACACAGAAGAACAATAAGTAAAACTGCTCTTATTCAAATTATTTACACTGGCAGTTATGGTATTTACAGAGAAAAGACTAGAAAAACCATAATCACAGAAAACATTAGATTGCAGAACGTATAGCCCCTTCTGAAGTTTACCAAGAACCAGAGGCTTCTTCAGAAAAGGGCCCTGCAACAAAGCACAAAGAACAGGAGTAAAGAAAGTATTACACTTGAGATGAAACAGCAACTGATGCAAAGAAATCAGATTATAGTGAAAGGAAGGAACCAGTAACACATGAGGAAGATAAATAGTGGGAGAAATAGAAAGTGATCCAGTACAAGTAACCTTAACCTTGTACCCATTTGGGAGAGTTACAAGGTAAGTCAAAGGTAGAGGTGTGATATAGGTAAGTAAAGATTTGTGAGGTGTCATGTGATTAGTAGCACCAGAGTCAATAATCCACAAACTATCATCTACTTTAGAGAAATTGCAAGCATGAGATATACAATTACTAAAATCAACACTACTGATCAAACCTGCAAAATTGGCAGAGGCAACACTACGTTCCTGAGAAGTAGAGGACTGCTTGGAAAGTTGAAGCAGAGAAACCTGTTGGTCATATTGCTCTTTCGACAAAATATTGCCTTCAATATCGAGTGGAACAGCCTTAGGCCCTTCAGTAACATGATGGTGATTGTTAGACATACCTACTCGAGATGGATCCGAGACATGAGCATAAGCTGTTGTTCTTTTGAACTTAGAGCTAGAACCAGGGGGATATCCATGCAATTTATAACATTTGTCAATCTAATGCCCGAGCTTCTTACAATATCTGCACACCATATTAGAATTCCCTTTTCTGGAAGCATCAAAGTTCACCTTATTAGAAGCATCAAAATTTACCCTGGAAGTATATGGTTTTTGAACCCCGGTGGAGAAGGAGGCCGAGTCAGTACTGAAACTTGGAGTAACAGGTTGAACCTATACCTGACTCTCATCCTCAATTAACATAGCATAAACACTGTCAATATCAGGCAGCGGCTTCATGAGTAAGATATTCCTTCAAACACCGGAATAAGCCTCATTCAAACCCATAAGGAATTGATGCATCTTTTGTTCATCCTCCAACTTCTGAAATGCCTCCTTACATCCAAAGTTACATTCTAGGTACGAGATGGAATAGGCCAGTTCATCCCAAAGCTTCTTGATGCGATTAAAATAAGAAGCAATATTTGAAGAACCTTGGGAGATGGAAGCAAGGCCTTTTCTAATCTGAAAGAGCTTAGTACCATTCGATTTTTCATAACGTTGTTCAATTTCCTTCCATAGTTTTTGTGCAGACTCGGTGTACATAACACTTTCCCTAATTTCGGTCTCTAAACTATTTAGTATCCAAATAGTCACCATATTGTCACACCTCCTTTTACGCGCCCGATGGGGCGCAAGGGGAGTTTTTTCCAATTAAAGGACAATCGAAACGGGATTGGTTTAATTATTTCAGAGTCGCCACTTGGGATATTTAGGGTGTCCCAAGTCACCAATTTTAATCCCGAATCGAGGAAAATAATGACTCTATATTATAGTCTGCGTACCAGAAATCCGGATAAGGAATTCTGTTAACCCGGGAGAAGGTGTTAGGCATTCCCGAGTTCCGTGGTTCTAGCACGGTCGCTCAATTGTTATATTCAGCTTGATTATCTGATTTTATACAAGTATGAACTTATGTGCAAATTTTGACTTTTAAACGCTTTTATTATTGTGTTTTTACAAGAATGTGAACATCGCTTAAAACACGTCTTTGGACTGCGTCACATGAAATGCACCCACAATCCGGAACGCATTTTATTTGATGTTTTGAGATTTGGATTTGGGTC